TGGGATGGACTGGGAGGAACTGGGCGGTTACTGGGATGGACTGGGATCAATGGGAACAGAACGGAATGAACTGGGATGGACTGGGAGGAACTGGGATGGACTGGGAGGAACGACTGGAAAATTTTGTGGCAAACTGGAAAGGCCAGAAGGGGAACAAGGGGGAAATGGAGATTGAACTGGGATGAACTGGGAGCCACTGGGACCTGTGCAGGGGAGCAGGAGCAGACACGACCACCCTCACACCCCGCCCTAATTAGCATAAAGCCACACCTAATTAAAACACAACCCACCACCCCTAATTAGCATGCAAACACTCCCTAATTAACATACAACGCGCCACCCCTAATTAGCATATAAATATACCCCTCAATTAACATGCAACGCACCACCCCCTAATTAGCATTAAAATACCAGCCCCGGGTCCCGCTCTCACACCCCCCTCCCTCACAAACGGCACCGGGAGTCCCGGTCAGCCCCGCCCCTCCCGGTCAGCCCCGCCCCTCCCCGCAGGCCCCTCCCGTCCCGGCCGGGCCCGTCCCGCCCCTCACGCCGTCCCGACCTTCCCGGGCGCCGCCACCGCCGCCGCTGCCCAGCGCCAAAATGGCGGCGCCGCTCCCGCTCGGCCGGGCCCGTCCCGCGCGCCCGCCCTCGCCGCGCTCCCATTGGTCGGTGCTCCCGCCACTCCGAAAACGCCGCGTTTTTATTGGTCCGCGCTGTAGAGGGGGCGGTGCAGCGCTACGACTGGCGCGGCCACGGCGAGGAAGTAGGCGGGCCAAAGGAGGTGCAGCGCTGTGATTGGCTGCGCCGCGCGGGGGCGGGACGGAGCGCCAATGCGAGGCGGCGATTGGCCGGATTGAGGGGGAGGAAGGGGCGAGGCGGAGCGGCGGGGGAAGATGGCGGCGCTGTGGCGGGCGCTGCGGGCGCTGCGGGCGCTGCCCGCCGGGGCTCGGGGCCGCTCGGCGGGATCGCCCGGGGCTGTGGCGCTGCCGCGGCCGCTCGGGGCCGAGGCGCACGAGGAGGAGCCGATGCTGGTGGCGCAGAGGAAGGTGAGAGGCCAAGGGCAAAGCGACAGCGGCGGGGCGGGGGTTGTGTGGGGACGGTGGGGGCGTGGTCAGGGGCGGGGCTTCTGTAAAGGAAAAATGGCGGATTTTGGAGAAGGCGTGGTTTAAAGGTTGTGGGCGGGACTTCGGTGGGCGGGGTGGTGTTGGGCGGGGCTTTGTGGGCGGAGCCTGTTTTGGGGCGGGGCTTCAGCGTGCTCAGGTGAATGCAGGGCTGTAAAGGGGCGTGGTCAGGGCTGTGGTGTGGGAGGGGGACACACCTGGGGGTCCAGGGGGAGGAGGTGGGACACACCATGGGGTGGGGTTTGGGTTCAGGTGGCTCCTCTGGCCCTGAGGAGGGGGTGGAACACACCTGGGGGTCCAGGGGGAGG